CTCTTTATTTAATCTATGGGGGTCGACTGTTCTCGCTCCACTGTCCATGTCTCGGGACATCTCGTCTAGTTCTTATTTTTAGTACTGCTCAGTTACTGTTCACCCAGTATCCAATGAGTTCAAGTACATACTGCTTGGCCTAGGGATTCCGAACAGAACTCTTTATTTAATCTATGGGGATAGACTGTTCTCGCGCCACTGTCCATGTCTCGGGATACCTCTTCCAATTCTTTTTTTTTTTTTTTTTTTACTCCTGCTCAGTTATTGATCGCTCTGTTTTTTCCAATGCGTCAAACTTTATTTAATTTACGGGGATAGACTGTTCGCGTTCCACTGACAATGTCTAGTCTAGTTCTTATTTTTAATACTGCTCAGTTATTGCTCGCTGTTTCCAATGAAACACACTGTACACGTCCAGGGATACCTCAACGAATATATATATATATATATATATATATATATATATATATATATATATATATGTATGTAAAATTTCAGATAGAGTATAACTGTAAAGGAGAATTTGAATAATGACAAAAGAAAAAATTATCTTTGCCGATTCATTCGATAAAAAGTCCCTTAGAGGTCGAAACGCGTGAGCTACGATAATTTTTGTTTTGTCTTTATATATATATATATATATATATATATATATATATATATATATATATATATATATATATATATATAAATGGCATTTTCCGGGGTAATGGTTACCCGGAGAATGTTATTAAACGTACAAATGAGCTTAAAAGTTGAACGCACGAATGAGCTTAAAAGTTTTAAGTCCACACCTATGTTTGATCTCGGGTTGTGTCCGGCGTATCTGAAATTGCTATGGTTGGGCAGGGGCAGCTACATTCTGAGTAATAGCGTTTGCTAGTGTTAAGTCACGTTTTCCTACCGTAAGGGCAAGCGTTGTTTTTAACAATGACACCAGGTTTTCTTCGTTTGTTAAAGATGATGCGCCCTATCTATAAAATATTTTGGTCATTTATACATTTAAATGTCAGTGAGGCGATGGATAGATAGGTTGGACTAATAAGCGCCTTGAAATACGATTATTAACGCACACAGCACAGAAATCTGTGATAGGTCAACATCTTTTAGATAATCCAGATTGCGCGTACAAATACACGGATTCGTGGTTTTCTATTTTGGACAAAGCACAGTCGGAAAAGCATCTGCACCCTTTTGATCTAGTATATACTAAATTACACCGACACTGTTTGTGGCGACAGAAAGAGAAATTTATTCGCTTTCTTTCTTTACTGGGAGGTCTGTGAGTACTTTTCTTTACACACACACACACACACACACACACATATATATATATATATATATATATATATATATATATATATATATATATATAATTAAGACAAATTTCCCAAAAACCTTACATTAGAATTTTTCAATTATAAACTTAAATTTATTTCGCAGTTGGTTTACACTCATACACTGAGTTCTCTACTAGAGTTTTACCTGGATATTCATTTTAGTGACTCCTCTGATTATATTATATATATATATATATATATATATATATATATATATATATATATATATATATATATAAGGTTAACAAGGAATGGTGACAAAGATACGCTCTATCCTTGACATAGAACTTTTACCAAGAAATATAGCATCTCTTAAAACTGTAAAGTCTGGTGTGCCTTTAGACTGTTCAGCCATAAAAGACATTCATAGCCAAGCCAAGTACAATTGCCCTATTTCCGAAATGCCTAACCCTTATTTAGATCTCTTCAAGTACACATCTAATAACATTTTATGTTCCCATCAGAAATGAATGGATTTTTTATTGAGAGACCGACATTATTCTTTATTGCCCTAAGCCTTATGTTTAGTAGATACACTTGTTTGAGTAATTCAACGCATACCGGTCACTCTGTGTGTGCGCGTGTGTGTGACGTGTACATGTAGGGTTTGTGTCTGGGAGTGTGTGTTTTATTAAATTGAACGGACAAGGAATGTCTGTTAAGCCTTTCTAAGAATTTCCCCTGATGTCATTTGATGTCAGGAGTGAATTTATAAAGGCACTTGCCGAAATTGTGTGTTTTAATTTTTTTTTTGTTAATTGCTCAAGATCTTTTAGAAGAAAAAATATACCGTCGATTTATCGGTCCTATATACTGTGTTACAAGCATTATTTTTGAGTTATGTCGTATAATACTCTTTGTAAGAAGGTCTCAGGTGACCTTTAATGTGACAAAAACTAAAACACTTCCTATTGTGGCTGGAGCTTTGGGTCTGATAAGGAATGGAACTAAAGATCAAATCAACAAAATCCTCGGTACACCATCTCTGCATGAAATTCCCCCAAAATAATTCTAATAAGCACAGCTCATATCATTCGAAGAGCTCTGTCTCTTTAAGTTTTTTCTTATTATTAATAGCTGTCTTTTGTTTAACAAAAGAATCGCCTGCTTGATTTACCCTAAAGCATTGGTTATGTCCCGGAATGAGATTATAAAACAAATTCAGGTCAGAAAGAAAGCAAATAATTTTATCTTTTTGTTATCTCTCCTAATCCCTGTTTTGACTATAATTTACTCAAGTCCTTTAAGAAAGATATGCGTTATTTTCCTTCAGTCTGTCCTGTGAGTATCAATTTTCCAAACTTTCTTTCCCCATTATGTGCCCTCGAGATTTCAATAAGTATAAGTTTTCTTTTTGTTCCTATTCTCTTTAAAATTTCGCCGTTGCTCATCTATTCTCAGCATCCTTCTGTAGAACTACATTTTTATGGCTTCAAGTCTCTTCTTTGAGATGATGTCCAACATTCACTGCCATATAGGTGAACTGATTTGGGGCAACAGAGGCATCCATTTATGTTGTGTTTATGGATGCTTTTACAAAATGCGTAGCTTAGACAAAAACGGTCAACAAAACGATAGGCGGAGGTGAATGTATAAGGACGGAGAAGTTGTTAACACCCACTGAGGGGATTAGTATGAGATAACAATGTGAGAGAGGACGAGTCTAGGAGGATAACTCTCGTCCGACCTTCCCTCTTGGACGAGGGAGAAACCCCCGGAATGGAAAGTGATTAATCTTCCAAAAATGGGAAGTAATTAATTTTCCTGGTCTAAGAACAAAGAGAATTCTTGCTGGGAATCGAGAATTATCGGGAACCCAAGCCACGTCAAGCCCACACACCGGGTTTTGGTCGGTGTCCATATAAACGAACGTCTCGAGGCAGCTGATCAGTTTGGAGTTAGTCAGTTCCAGGAGTTCCAGCAGTTGATTCGCTGTTGCAGTCAGGCCTTGCCTCGCAGAAGCTGACCGAGATTTACACGCCCTTTTCGACTTAGCCTTCCTACTAAAAACAAGTTATATTGACGAACGACTTAAGGTACCAAAACTCGCTTAAGAAACGCAAGTGTCACGAATCCATAGAAACGGGCTGGGAGAGAAACAAACTCCTGTATTCAACAGACGGATAAAGATAATTTGTTATTTCTCAACATATTTGAACCTCTTGAATTTTGTTTTATTGTTTCTTTTACTTACGCTTGTGCGATATCACCTTTACCCCGGATCCAGCTTGCACTACGGCCCGACGCCTGATTGATTTCTTCTACCTAAGATCAAAGTCACAACGTGGATAGGTTAGACTTGAGATCAAAGTAGTTACTTCGGTAACCAGACGTTGGAAGTGAGCTGGGAACAACAAAGCTGGTATCGAACCGGGAAAGACCAGGTCGACCGGGACACAAGCTGGTGGCAGCGACAAAGAGTCAACCCAAAAACGCTGGTGGAAGAAACCTTACAGCTTCTCGCCGTAACTGGGAGTTGACCACGGGCCGACAGCGCGGTGTCACATATTGGCGTCGCGACCAGAGGATGTCACATATTGGCGCTGCGACCGCGACCACTGGTGGTTGTCACAGATTGCCCCTTGATTAAATTTTGAAATAAGACCGTTTGAAAATCCGGAAAACGTTTGCAGAGAGTTCTGTTGTTGTCCGAACCTTCCCCTTCCTGATACGATTGTATCTACTACTTGGAGAGGATGACTAACTGACCGATCTGCTGACGCCTCTTCTCTCTCTGTTTTCCTCTCGCACATGTTTTACTCTAAGAACCTATATCTACTATCTTTCTCTTCACCAGTGAAAGTGAGTCAAAAGAAATTCGAAGAAAATTGTCTGTTGTTGATTGAATTTGTTGATGCAGCATTGGGAACCTTACTGAGGAAATACCAACAGACCACTAGAATCCATTTTCATTTCTTGTTTCTTTATATAATGTGTTACGAGGATGCATTTCTATAATAAGGGATTCCTTTGAGTTCTACTTGTTATTACAAAAAAGTTTTCATTTATGAAGTAGTTGAAAAATAGAGAAATTAGAAATAGAATGTTTGGAAGATTCTAGATCATTCTAGTATATTCGAGAAAAATCTAGATGATTCGAGAAACATCTAGAAATATGCAAATTAGGTGTTAGCCCCTATAAAAATGGGATTTTGGAAAAGGGTTGTCAGTTGATGAATGAGAATTTCTGCTGTTATCAACTCCGGCTTTTGATTCAAGGACTATTATATCCAGCCGAAAGAATCTCTATAAAAAGTTGCCGACCAACCAAAAACCCAAAAGAGAATTTCATGGAACAAATTTGGTAAATAGAATTTTGACTAATTTTCATTGACCAAACTAAAAATTAATATTTATTTACACACCTTTGTGGATTTCCAAATATAGCACTTAGATTACTTCACTAGCCCTAAAAAGTGATAAAAATATTTGATTCCCTTTCCCTCTTCCTCGTAACACTTCGCCAGTAACTCTTTGTTTTCTGTTTTGTAGGCCACAATTGTTTATCCTGTATATATTTTATGTTCTGTTTTAGTAAATTAAATATTTGTTTGTGATTTAGCTCTGAGTTGTGGTAACTCATTTTTTTTCCTTTGTTACAATTATCAACACGTAACAAATGCAACTCATAATAAAGGTGATTTCTCTTTTTACTTTCAGGGAAACCTCCAACGGGTTTTTGTCTTTCTTTTTATTACAGTGTTGATCCTGACAATACTGCTCGCAAAAATGACAACTTTCTTCGACAATGTTAACTACACACGTTATTTATTTGCATCGAAGGAGGTGAGTATTATTAGATTATTGCAAACGTTCGTACCCGATTAGAAAATTAAAAAGAAATTTTTACATACAAAAAACATTTATTTGTGAAGTATATAGTCCTCAGTGTTTCTCAGCCTTTTTAAGCAATGGCACGCCTACGAGCAAATGAAAATATCATGAGACGCCTAGGAGCAAATGAAAATATCACGTCACACTTAGTAAAATTTTTAAATTGTATTCATCTAAATGTTATGAAATAAAACCATAGATTTAAAAAAAATAATCCACACCCAAATATAAACTTACTTTATTTCAATGTTTCTATTCAACTATTTGCGCATCTTTTTTAGTCTGAAACCTGTGCCTGGTGTTTTTTTTTTTGCAATTTCATGGTCAACTTAAGAGGATCATGTGGCATATTTGTGTGCTGTGAAACAGCAATTGAGAATCCCTGTTTTAGACAATAAATAATAAAATAACCAATCTTTCTCAACTTCTTCCATGACGGCCATGACTTTACTCCTCTCTGCCATGTCTTGCAAGTAAATCCTTCTATCTTATCCCTACATCTTCTGTTTGGACTTTTTCTACAGCATTGTTATTGATTGGGCACATATCAAGCAACCTTTTGCTCCACCTGTTATCTTTTCTTGATGCTATGTTTCCCACCTCCAATTGTGTCATTTAATCACTTCTAAGTCTTGTCTTGGTCTGTTGTGAAAAATATAGGCTACCACTGATTAGTGCAGTGTTTCTCAACATTTTAAATCAATGGCACACCTAAGAGCAAATAAAAATATCACAGCACACTTAGTAAAATGTTTAAAGAGTATACATTTAGATGTTATGAAATAAAACCATAGATTTAAAAAAATACATACGAAAAATATGAACTTACTTTATTTCGAAGTTTCTATTCAATTATTTGTGCATCTTTTTTAATGTGAAACCTGGGTCTGGTGTTTTTTTGCAATTTCTTCAATATTTCATGCTACTCTTAAAAGGATTGCGTGGTACATTTACTTGAGTATAAAAAAAGTTGAGAATCACTGTACTAAAATATGCAAATACAATATCCCAATTTTTCTATCTCAGTTTGTTCATATCTATGTATTTACCTCTTGAAAATAGTTATTGTTGTGTAGGCTAATATTTAAAAAAAAACAAACTTATATGCAACAAATATATCTTTTAGAGTGAAACTACTCCCTGAAAAGAAGCTGTGGAGAGCAATGATCACCTGTGCACTGAACAAACGTCATTTAAAAAAATGAATCCTAAGACCAGCTTATGTAGCACGTTGGCATGGTCTAATTGTTACTGAGGCTTGTTTGGTTGATCATTACTACTGATTTGTTCAGTGTTTCTCAGCCTTTTTAAGCAATGGCATGTCTAGGAGCAAAGGAAAATATCACGGCACACTTAGTAAAATTTTTAAATGGTATGAAATAAAACCATAGATTTAAAAAAAAAATACATAAAAAATATGAACGTGTTTTATTTCAATGTTTCTATTCAACTATTTGTTCAGCTTATTTAGTGTGAAACCTGTGCCTGGTGTTTTTTTTTTTTTCGATTTCTTCAATGTTTGATTGAATGTGCGATAAACAGACACTGATTTCTTTTTCAGTTGAGCGTCGTCTTTATCGCTTCTTATTTTTTTTTTTATATTACTTAGGGTTGAGAAGCCTAATTCACATACATAAGAAGTAGAAAACTGCAATAGCTAATGTGGGATATTCCTTTTCTACTGAAATTTAAAATGTATCAATCGATGCTGTCAAATCGTTTATAAAAAATAAAAATGCCTTTTAAAAATGAATCTTAAAACAAAGTATTTAAAATAACATAATCGAAGAATAGAGAAAAGAATTATCGAAAAAAATGTTTAATACTTATTCATGGATTCGAATACTAATGCTGTACCATTACTCCTTCCACACACACACACACACACACACACACACACACACACACACATATATATATATATATATATATATATATATATATATATATAATGACGGTATGGATATTTCCAAAAGGATATAAATCCAGAGAGTGCTTTATGTTAGAAACAGCAATAATTATAACCTCATCAAGTTTTAGCGTTTGCCTTTAGAAGAATAATAATAATTATATATATATATATATATATATATATATATATATATATATATATATATATATATATATATATATATATAATTGTATATAATTGGTATATACGGAATGAATTCCAATAACCAACAATTACTATTCTTAAAAGAGTGGTCAATACAGAGTAGAGCAGATATAGTTATTTATTTTAAAAAATTATAACATAAATATGTTATAGGAACTTTTAAAACCATTTATTTTACATTCAACATCATCACTTGATAAGACACCGGAGGTGTTGAAACAAAATGGCTATTTTTGTAGTGATTTTATAACATATTTATGTTATAATTTTTTTTAAATAATTAAATAAATAATATATATATATATATATATATTAAGAAACAGACAACTTGCCTGTTTTTAATATAATTAATATTTGCTCTGTTTTTACATTGAACTCTCTGGATTATATTCTCCCTAGAATTATCCATGCACATTACCAAACACATCTTTACTGACACACACACACACACACACACACACACACACACACACACACACACATATATATATATATATATATATATATATATATATATATATATATATATGTGTGTGTGGGTGTGTGCCAGGACAATATATCGTGACACATTTAAGCGGATCGCGACACGATTGAGAGCCACTGACGGAGTACATTGTTTTTTAGCTAGTGTTTCTCATCATTCGACAAGTTTGTTGATGTCATTTTCATAGAAACTTCGTGTTTTTTGTTAGAAGAAGGTTGACAGGTAGTTGTCGACTAAAATGTACAGTGTCAAATATTCTGTCATTTAAATAGTTCTGTGGAGACCGTAAACAAATGGCAATCCGAGAGCCTAAGAAGTCAAGAGAATACAGTGTGTGCTGAAGGGTGGGGTCCCGTTTCAACTCTTTAATCTTCTGAAAGGTTTGTTTCGTAACATGCGGTTTTACGTTCTCATAGTAAAAAAAAATGACACTATTTCGCTTTGACAAAATCAGCCCCTTTATTAAAACCCAAATCTCTCCAAATTCTGGAAGACAGCTGTGATATCGATTTTCAAACTCTTAGCAATCTCTTCCGGTCTATATAAATAGTTTATTCTCCATGATTGAAAGTAGAGCGTCTTTATCATTTACTGGGTATCGTAATCCGGCTGTTGAGAGTCACTGCCATGATACATTGTTTTACACAACACTCTCTCTCTCTCTCTCTCTCTTCGTTCTACAGACTTGTCGATGCCATTTTCATAGAAACTTCGTATTTTTGTTGGAAGAATTTTCTGATGTAGTTTTTGATTCACTGTAGAGTCAAATATTCAGTCATTAAAATTGTTCTGTAGAAACCGGAACAAATAAAAATCTAAAGCAGCAAGTCAGGAGAATGCGGTGGGTGCTGTAGGGGAGGGTTCCTCATTTCACTTTTTTTAAGCTTCCCCAAGACGTGTTATGCAACACGCGGTCGTTGTCGTTGTGGAAATTTTCAATTTTCCAAAATCGGCTGTTTTTCTCGAACCCAAGTCTTTTCAAATGGCAAAAGACAGTTATAACGATTTTCAAACTCTTAGCAATCTCTTCCGTCAAAATCTTCACTTTACTCTCTATCATAGCAAGCAGACGGCATCGGAAGGTCACCTGGAGCGTGGTTGATCTTTCAGGTTGGAATCACCCTGACAAAATCTGCCAAACCACTTTTTGATCGTCCGAAGAGCTGAATCACGATCCAAATAAACCTTCTGAATGTTTGTGGTAGCAGTTCCAACGCTAACTGCTTTTCGAAATTGATCGAGTGTAATATGGCGAAAGGGTTACTTTTCATCCTCCATCTTGAAGGCATTCATTTTAGGACAAAATGTCAACATTCAACAAAGTTTGACTCGCAACTGAACGACACAAGATTTCAACTTAGAACACACTAAAAGAAACGCCATTCTTAAGTTATGGTTATTTTATATTAACAATGAAAATCGGGCACGGAATTTTGCACTGATCTGATATTTTAATTTTTAAATACGTCACGAACTAATTGTGGTTTAATTTATCTAAAAAATATAATTAGTCGAATATGAAGTGCTACTTTAAGAATTATCATCTGTAGTCATTTTTTTAAGACATGGCAGATTGCGAACTAACATGGCTTAAGCAGTCTTATTTAGTGTTGGCCATTTAATAGTGACCACAGAATTGTGTTAACTTTTCACATTTGTCTTTTTCTCGCCATTTCTTTGTCTAGACACTATACTCTCAATACCAAATTTACTGAACCATTCACTTGCTATTTTAATGTGTTCGAATCGTTCTAAGGATGGTATCGATCAATGGCGGTAAATTGTTTTCATTTTCAACAGTGGTCGTTTTCACTTTGTCTATCGCTATTTCCATGGAAAGTGTTCAGGCGAACGAAATTCCTCACTTTCACCAGTTCTAACTCTTTCACGGCTAAGACCGGTCATGCATGGCACATTGTAGCGAACCACTCTCATTCCTTCCCAAGAACCGCTGATTTGTGGAACCGACTCCCAAGAGGATGCTTCCCCTATCACTAAAATCTTAACCTGTTCAAGTCCTTGAGAACACATGGCCCAGGGGATGAAGGCGTTGATTAGATCCAGTGACTAGACACAAAGAGCTGTGAGTTCAATACCTGGCTACAGCAGTGGAGAGTTGAATTAAAGTGAACTAGAACCTCAACACCGGTGGACGAAGTAAAGGGTTTGGTTCGAAATTGTTATGGTAAATTACCCATACACGGATGGACTCTTCCAAGTTACAAATAAAAGCAGGTATTGCTTTTTGGCAGGTGAGAGTTTTTTTTCCCCAATCGTCAGCTCTGACAGTTAGGACTTAACATTCTTGCTCGTTTGTATATTATTGTATTCCCGATTTTCGATAATATATTTGTTAACTCAAATTCACTTTTGTGTCTTTATTCTGACCCCAACAAGGCCACAACAGAAATTCCAATCACAGCATACAGCGACCGAAACGTTGTGAATATGACAATGAAGATGAGGATAACAGTCTGAATAATGTAAATAATACAAGTAATAATAATACCTCATCTCAGAGATATAGACAGATATATAGAGAGACATAGACAGAAAGGCCGGAGCATACAGCGGCCGAAACGTTGTGAATATGGCAATGAAGTTAAGGATAACAGTCCGAATAATGTAAATAAATCATTCCAGTCAGCCCTTTCTAAGTGCAGAAGTTTGTGTTGAACGCACAGAAATGATAGGTTGTTGATCAATGATTAATCTTTTGAAGTCCATGAGATCAATTCAATCGTTTCACGAGGTTCTTTCCTCGATCCAACCCTATGTCTGAATATTATTAATGATCTATTTAGAAACAGTCTCAGATCATTAGTAACTATCCATGCAGATGATGCCACAGTTTACGGAGGCACTTCTAAAAATCAAAATGATCGGAACTTTGTGGCTGATCTCTTCTCTGATTGAGTTTTAACAGCTCAATGGAATGCAACTATGCTTGTGACTTTCGATATCCCCAAAACCATGCTAATATCATTTTCGATAAGACCCCGGCGTTTTTCCAGTCATGAAGAACAGTTCAATTCCTAAACAGACTGCAGTCCCTACTTCACTATAGACCCTCGGACATATCTCATATATCAGATCCATTACTAAAGAAATGCTTCTCTCATTCTACCACTTCAGGAAGAATCTGACTCCTTCTGCTATGCTTTATCTTTACTAGATCCAGATCAGACCAAAAATAGAATATTGCTGACATATCTGTGCTGGAGCTGCTCAGTCCTCACTTCCCAGCCATAGCAGAGTTCAAAATCGTCTATGCGGTATTGTGAGAAATACTTATTTTCCACTCTGCTGCCTCTTTTCCCACAGTCGCAAAGTCGTAAGCCTATCGCTATTTCGATGTAAAATGTTCGGATGAAGTCTACTCTTTGTTCTCCACGGAGTCGAATCAGCTTCATTTCCCCTGTATTGCAATTGTTAGGATAACGTTCTACATAGCATTTTCCCAAGAATTGCTTCTTTTTTGGACAAGCTCCCGCCTAGATGCTTCCTTGAGCATTACAATCGTAACTTCTTCATGTCAAGAGTCAGTCACTATATATCCTGCTTATCCTCATAATCTTTATTTCCTTCTACCTTCGATTTCATTCATATAACTTGCTGTTCTCTAACATCTCAGTGTGTGTGTGTGGGTGTGTGGGAGGGGAGAACTGTTCATCATCGCCGATCAAACCCCGAACTACCACCAGTAACGATGAACTGATGTCTCTTTGAGGAGGCTCTGTGTCTTGAGAGACTATTGAGCCTTAAACTCACACCTGAGATCAAGTGGAACTCGTCGCTAAAGATGCAGGTAAAATGGTCGCCCCCACCCCCGTACCGCCACAGTAAGTACCTGACTCTTCAAGTTATCCTCTAGCTTTGCAAGAGCCAGATCAGGCCGAAAATGGGCTACTGCTTCCATATTTGGGCTGGAGTTACCCAGTACTCACTTTCCGGGCTTGACAGACTTAAAAGATGTCGACACGACTTTGTGGATAACGAATTATTTCCCGCCCTACAACAACCGCTTTCCCACAGGTGAGAACGAATCATCCCTTTTTTTCTTCTTCTCTCGTATTCCGTTAGTAATAAAGAAGTTCCACTCGGAGACCTTCTTCCCGAGAACCCCTGCTGCCTGGAACAGAATCCAGGGATAATACTTCCTCGATTATTATAATCTTAATCTCTTCAAGTCTAATGTCAACCGTTGTCTATCCTACATATCCTCATAATCTACACTTCTTACCTACTCCTCTTATGTTTATCTAACAACCGCTTTCAGCAATCCTCTACCTTGAGAGGCTCTTGGACATTGTATTTTGTGAAAATCCGAAAGAAACATCCCACACCTTATTCCGTAGCCATCTACCTTGAGTAGCCTGAGCCTTGTAATGTGTGAACTTTAGTTAAAAAGAAAGCGACACGAAATATCATTCGATGACCAATTTGAGGAAAATGCTTTGACATTTTGGACTTAGAAGTCATATGACGAGAGTCATTAGTGTCAATAAATATGACAGCATCACAATATGAAAATTAAAACAACAATAAAGATGGACTAAGAAAAAAAAATGAATCTCCATATACACGACAACAATAAGGCATGAACCCTATCTAGCTTTCATTTAATTTTATTCGTTTGGAATGATAGCTTAACAAAAATAATTAAAACAGAAGTTTAACGATATTTTATTTTTATTGTTTTTTTTTTGTTTTTTTTTCAGACTCTCCCGACGTCTCAGTGGTTGATGGCCGAATCGATTTCAACTTCTTTGAATAATTCAAATTTGACTCCCTCGAAAATTGCGGCTCTGAATCCCACAAAGAATGGGGCATTAAGACGCCAAGAAGACACAGTTTCCCGTCAGACAGCCGCCCCCACAAGGTACACGGCCCACACTTCTCCAAAAGCGGTAACGTTGGAAAGCACTAAGAATGTAACTCTTTCTTCGGTCTCTGATGGTAAAAAGTACCTTATCTATCGTTGCATGGGAGGAATTGGCGTCAGTTTTTGCAGTGGACTTGGTAATCGAGAAATTGGTATTGTGGCCAGTTATTTGTTAGCCAACGCCACAAATAGGACATTCGGCGTCATTATGAAGCATCCTTGTGATATAAATAAATTTCTCGTTCCAAATACTCACAACTGGACAATTACGCCTGAGCAAATACAAAATTTAACGTCAAGCAGTTTATCTGTAAGAAACAATAGGAAATTTACCAATTCACTTACGAATATTGATTTCAACAGAATTTATCCTCAAGATGTTGTGTATATTTTGAACAACCAAGAATACCATCTCCAACTGTTTCAAAATAAACTGTATAGAAAAAACTTAAAATGGGCACGGAAATTACCAAAAAATCTAATTTACAGGACCATCTTGGATAAACTTTTCAAACTACATCCAAACGTAGAGAAGAAAAAAAACGCATTTCTGGAGAGGGTTCGACCTTCACCCCAAAGCAAGTTAATATGTGCCCAAGTGCGCATGGGCAAAAACCCTTCAATACCTTGGGATAATCGTCCGATGAATACGATGAAGGGTGTGGAGAAATTATGGAATTTTTTTGATAAGAAAGACAACGCAAGTAATATTTTTATCACCACCGATTCCTCAGCAGTGATACGGAGCGCCAAAAAACGGTTTAACAAACGATTTGTCACCACGGACGGTCCGATTATTCACATAGACAAGGCATATCGTGGATCACCTTGTAGTGGAATGGAAAAACTTATTCTGGATCAAATGATTCTAAAGGATTGTGACACGTTGGTAGTAAGCACTAGTTCATTTGGTCGTATACCTGCTTACTGGCGTAACAAACCTTCTATATTTTTATTCCGGGGTGGCAAAGTGGGAAAATGGTGAAGTAACGGTAGTTGTGTTGTCGGGGAATATTAAATTAAATTGAATTGAAATAATATAACGTTGTTAATTGCAGCAAGGCTTGAAATTCACAAGAAATAAAAAAAATATCGTTCTATTGAAACGATAGTGTAGCATTGTAGGCACTAAGAGAGACTGAAACATTAGTGGTTAGACTAAGGTTATAAGGTTTACATTTTCTTTTAGTAACTACCAATTTTATAGAATAGTGTGTTTATTCGTGTACCATGCAAAAATGTTTGTATTAGACTCAAATGCAAAAATGTTATTCGCGTTATAGAATGAATAAATTTAATTTTTTTTTACACGGTTTAAAAAAAAAACGCCTTTATATGAAGATAATACATTGTGCATACTGAAAACCATTCCTTTCTTTCTTTATACTAATATTCACCCAATACAAGGCCCAAGAGCCACTCAAGGTAGAGGGTTACTGTGTAGAGTTACATAAACGTAGGAAAGGACCAGCTTTAGGTGTATAGAGCTGAAGTAGACTTTACAAGGAACCGGAAACCCAGTCCTAAACAGGAAACAAGGGATAAACTTCTACTCCCGTTTAAAAACCCAGGGAGGAGTCTGAACCCGATGATAGGCGAACCTATCTACCCCTGTTCATAGGGGATCATATGTGAATGCAATAATTTTATAACAAGACAAAAGTAATATTAACCAAAAAATGATTCTAAATGAAAATGGTATTTCACAGTTAAAAATTGTACTAATTTGCTAATGTGAATTTAATTCTTTGTTATATTGGTAATTTCTTTGTAGTGTGGATGGGTGGATGGGTGGCTCCATTTTGCCAGGAGTTTCCAAATTGATTGTTTGCGTACGATTTCGTACAATCGCGGAAATTTATTCTTTCTAAAAGAGTTTATTAGTATCAATATTACCATTTTATTTTCTGTTCTGGTTTATAATTGTTATTCTCAGGTGTAAATTTTGAAGAGGGCGAACTGGGTTCAAATCGGTATTAATTCCTTAAGAAAAAGGCATGAGCCAAATCCTCCTTACATTATTAAAATATCAACAGTGCTTACTGATCTTTATACATTGTTTACTCCTTTTTACTCTCAAGTTGTGATCGAAATGATAAGGTCATTGTCACTTTGAAGACAAAAAATGGGTTTATTTGAATAAAGAAGCAAATAATAAAAACTAACAGAACAGTCGCTTATTTGTCGCGTATCGGAAATGAATCAACTGGAAATGAATATCAAGCCGTATTTATATATAAAAATTTGATTTTAAAAGCTGAATATACAAATTAGTTATCTCCCTTAATCAAGAACAGCGAAGTTGGGCAGGATATAAAACACATGCTGTTATATAGAGCTGGTAAAAAATGCAGGCTCATAATGATTATTATGTTTAGTACATTGTTGGTGAAACGCCACTGTTTTTAATCTCTAATAACATGTACTTATGGGGCACCCACTTTAAAGTCTGCTTTGTGTAAAATTCTATTAGAGTGGGCGTAATTCTTATGGTAAAACAGTGGGCTAACAATTTTTATTATTAAAAATGGCTCCCACTTTAACCTTGACCTTGTAATACATTCTGTTAGATTTGACGTATGTTTAAGTTTTAAATCGCATTAGCTGGTGCTTATTTTTGTGCATAATATTTACGCAAATACACAAGTGAACAGATAAAAAATATTATATTCCACAATAAATCAGAAATTTAAATGATTTCCTTTTTTTTTTATTTCCTTTATACCCAATGATAAACTGTGTCATATTTACAATGAACTGAAAAGAATGCGATTAAATGCTATTGTTGAATAAATGTCCGTTCCTGAAAATAAGATATTATTTCTTCAAAGCGTTTTTATGCTGTTTGTTTTTAATTACAAATAGCGACGCTCTTCATTTAAGTTATTGTATGGTTGTCTAAATTGGCGTCTCTTTCAAATGACAACATTTGTTTGTTTATTTTTTTTTATATATCTTGAAAGAACTAAATTGAAATGGAAGACAAATTGTTGAATGGATTTGTTTTTAGTGGGGAACGATATTTGCGTCTTTGTCATTGAAAGATACGGTATAGCGACGCCCATATAGAGGTGAATCAAAAACTACAGAGAATACAATAGGTGATATAATTCGAAGCGATTATTTAAAACATTATTTCGGCTGTCATTTAATTCATTCCCTGGCTCAATAAATTTTACAAGCATGTGAAAATTGTTGAGCTTTGGACGAAGACCGCCGGGCAATCTCGAAACTTTATCAATGCAACCTTATTGCAGAATTTCATAGCGTTAGCGTGTTCCTGTCAAAAGTATTAATTGTACAAGCAGAATTATTTTTACTGCAATCGATGCAAAAAAAGAAAAAAAAAAAAAACGAAAACAAAAATAACCAACCCAGAAATTTTTATATCATTCAAGAAAAAATGTAAATAAATAACATAAAAGTCATTTTTCTTTTTTAAGTTTAACAAATATTTTTTCTTTTCTTTGGGATTCTTTATTTCTTTCCATCTTTTCTTTTTCTTTTCTTATTCACCGTTTTCTTTCTTTCTTTCTTTCTTTCTTTCTTCTTCTAGTCTTTCTTTCTTTCAACAAGAGAAAAAATTCAGGATGTGAGCTATAAATTGTCAAAATCAAACAAGCACAGAGGTTTCAATATCTGAGATGTGTTTTAACAGATGACGAAAAATGTGACACCGAAATCCGAAGGCGCGTTGGAATATAGAAAGATGCCTTCCAAAAACTAAACGATGTATTAAGAAACGGAAAAATTTCTTTAGAATCAAAGAAAAGTGCGGAATTGCTATGTTAGTTCTATTAAATGACGGTGAATGCTGGACAATTTCCACACAGATGAAGAGAAGACTAGAGAGACCAGATATGTGTTTCAACAGAAGGATGCTGAGAATGGCACGGATGAAGCATGTGAATAACGGCGACGGGGAAATAGAAACAAAAATAATGCGTATACTTAAAATGAGAAAGAGACAGTTGAAATTTCTAGTTTACATAATCAGAAAAGAAGATTTGGCAAATTTGATACTCACAGGGCAGATTGAAGGAAAACAATGTCTAATCTGCCTAACGAGATTGAGTAAATGTATGGCGAAACAAGGTTTAGGAGAGATAACAAAAAGATAAAATTTAGTAAGATTTGGAAATTGTGGAGAGTCGTGATCACCAACGTCCATAGAAGAATAAAGAGATTTTCATGACTAACCGCATTGTAAACTATATTTTGGAAAAGTATATAAAGATGTCTGATTAAAGCCAGATAAATTATTTACACTATTTACATTCTATTATCCTCATCTTTGTTGTTGTTATTACCACGTTTCGGCATTTGTATCTTTCGTCTTTCATCAGGTGTATGACATGCCATTCTTCTGAAGAGAAAGTTTGTGATATGACTAATATGTGCTGATTATTATTATTATCATTATCATTATTATTATTATTTAATTTCTTTTTGACCTGCATTTCTTTTATAATCACATCATAACCAATGAACTTGGGCAGTGGTTCCCAAATGGTGCGGGGCACCTCATAGTTGCTGCGGAAGAGGATATCAGGTGAAGCGGAAGAGGATATCAGGTGAGGCGGAAGAGGATATCAGGTGACTTGGAATGATCGAGACAATCAAAGATTTAGAAACAGTTTTAAAAAATTCATATGCTAAAAATAAATATGATTTCAAAATTTAAAATATTATTATGGATTACTTGTAATTGCATACATGAGTCCCAGCATAAATAGTTATTTTTTAAGCATTTCACCCTAAGCAAGGCGGGGAGCTACTAGGACGCAAGGGGTTACAGAAAATTTAGAGCAAGATCAGATAGGAGTGATAGAAGAAAGGATGAGGAGGAGGGTAGTGGAAAGATCAAGGCAACTGGAGATGTCGATTGACATTACACTTGAATAGCTGGGGATTATAACTGTCAGGGAAACTGGAAGAGGAAGGGAGTTCCAAAGGCGAGAGGTGGGAGACATGAAGCTATTGGAGTAGAAGAGACGGAGTAACTAGGGTCTGCAAATTGTAGGAGAGAGTTATCAATAATAATCTTCCGACTTCGAATCTGCAGTTATCTTTCTGGATGTTCGTTGCCGTAGGGCTGCTTGGGCCTTTTCACTGTGACTTTCACAAAAATCTTGGCAATCATCCTCATTATTATTATAATCACAACCACTGCCTCTGCCACCACCATCATCATCGCATATATCGTATATTTGCTCTTAACTTATCAGCCTTTAGCTCTGTAAAGGCTGTTAGATAAATAACTTAATCACTGAAAAAAAGACATTTACTTTGCAACGTTTATGTCTAGCCCAGTGGTTGTTAAATAGTGCTATGCAATTCATAGGTGCAACGGAAGAGGATAGCAGGTGAGGCGGAAGAGGATAACAGGGAAGGCGGAAGAAGATAGCAGGTGAGGCGGAAGAGGGTAGCAGGTGCGGCGGAAGAGGGTAGCAGGTGCGGCAGAAGAGGAAAGCAGGTACGGCGGAATGATTGAAAGACAATCAAAGATTTAGAAACAGTTTTAAAAAATTCATATGCCAAAAAATAAATATGATTTCAAAATTGAAATTTGTATTATGGGTTACTTGTAATTGCATACATGAGTCCCAGTATAAATAGTTATAAATAATTGTTGACCGATTTTATCATTGTGATATTTTTGCATTATATCAAGTATTAAGAATATAGTAACTAGGTTCTGCAAATTGGAGGAGAGAGTTATCAATGATAATGTTCTGACTTTGAATCCGCAATTATCTCCCTTCAATGGTTAACCCTAGACTTGAACAGATTATGATTGTAGTGATAGGGGAAGCAGCCTCTTGGGAGTTAGTTCCATAGGACAGCAGGCACGAAACTGCGCGAGTGGAATTTACATCTCACCAATGTAATACGCGGAGAACTAGGGCTGTTCGCTACAATGGACGTGGCATGGCGGGTCGTAGCTGTAAAGGTTAGGAATGGTGGAACTAAAGAATGTAGTTCGTCTGAGAACTTTCTATGGAAATAGCCATAGAGTAGCCAGAAGCTTGCTGCGACCTTTCGTCAGTGAGGAAAGAATTTTGCAAGGTGGAAAATAATTCATCACCCACAACGACGCGAAGACGCTTTTGGACTATTGAGACTGGAACGTGAAGACTAGACAGCTCCTGCCCATATATGGCGCGTGGGGGGTGGGGTGGTAATCCATTTTCAACCTGATTTGTCTCTTGTAAAGGTAGAATATAGCAGGAGGAGTCATATACATAATGGAGCGGTACAGAAAACTGACTATTTGTCCAGCATCTTCAGTGATGGATTGTATATGTTTCACTTCAGGTTTGGGTTGAGTTCTCTCAATAGAGGCTCAAGGAACGGGGCCCTTCCTGAGGGAACATCTGTTCATCGTGATTGTCGAGAGTTCTGGGTCTGATCGGCGATGATTCTCAAATACAGGGGTTACTTCTCTACGAATTTGTTGCTGGCAGAATATTCGCTATCGACTGCAAATCTTCCGTTCGTATCATTTTGGTTAGATCGTTTTTAGGTTTCAATATTTCATAAGTTTGGAGAATATTACAATACTTGATGTCTCGTTGGCGAGATTGATTTTCCAAGAGGTGCCAATTTCTTAAGTCAATAGCACGGTATTCTCTGCTGTCTAGATGTTTCTAGGTCTACCAGGCTCCTACCGACACCATTCTCACTGACAGCAACGACACCACTGGCTTCTGATAACCGCTGTTTGGAGGCATTCAGATTTCACGCTAATCAATAAGAACATATGACTCAAATATTTATGTATTAGACCGTCACTCCTAGCGATCTCTTTTAAGTGATTTGATAAACATAGATGAAAACGAATAAAACTGTGTACATAAGAAACAGAGTGCAATGTGATGAATAGACGAAATTTAATGACGTTTCAGTTTTCAGCTCAACGCACCTAGTTCGTGTCTATTAACATTTTCAATCTAGCGTAGGAAAAGGTGTGATCAGACGTCCAATTATTATATTTTTTCTTCATTGCGCCGTGTCCCTTCAGGATGTGGGTGATGGTGGTCCTCCACAACTTCCATACTTCGTAAATACAAGCATTTTTTGTCCCTTACTCTCCCTGCTAGCCAATGTTTTGCTCTCCATTGTCACAATCTCGTTAGGTAGGTTACTCGCTGTTTCCCCCTGCCCTTCTTACATTGTCTTGTGGGGATCACATGCCCGCTTTTTCTCATCATGTGTCCCCAAAGATTTTTCTCATCACGTGTCCCTTAAGGTTTTTCTCATCAGATGTCCTTTTTTCAAACAATGCTTTCATCTATTGAATAAAAGCAATTTTCTAAAATAATTTTTATAACTTTCACTAAACTGTTATGACTTATTGTTTCTTTATTAAAAAAAAAAAGACTGTACCAGTCCGACGCCAAGGAGATGGGTGTGGCTGATCCACAAAAATCATTTGCTCTAATGCGAAAATAATGTGAACCAATATTAATGTACACATTCTTTTTCACGGCTCTTCTGACTTAAAGGCTGCTGCCCCATCTAAAACACTCTGAGGACGATCCTGAGTATATCTCGGGTACTTTTTGATAGTCCACGACATAAAACTGCGTTGCGAACAAAGTACCCCTTTTATTAATAGTGTGACATTGGCAAACGGAAAGAAAAGGGTTAAAATTAAAATATATCTTTGACCAAGACGAAAAGTTTTAAAGAATGGAACAATAGACCATCTGAGAGAAAGTCTGAAATCGCTTTTAATTTTGAAAGTCTACCTTTTAAGCATAGAAGAAAATGACTTTGTTTTGAGGAAATATATTACCGCAAAGCCCATCTGGTAAAGGCTGGTCTGACACATGATTAACGGCGCTACCTTAAATTGAAATTTACGAAACCATCTCCTAGGGACCAACCGGAAAAGAAAGCCAATTGAAAAAAATAATATTTGGTAATTTTTAAAAACAAGGCAGAATAAAAAAAAGAAAGAAGATTTATACCACCTATCAGAAAGAGGAATTTGTAATCAAATCGAGAACTAGAATTTCTTCATGTAAGGATCCAGACCACGGTTCTTAAAGAGCGATTGAGCTAAGAAGATATGGAGATACCTGATGCCGGAGGAAACAGCTGGTAAATTCCTGATTTTATGAACGAGACCAGGCTGGGAAACATTTGTTGACGAAAAATTAAAATGATAATTCTAAGTAATGACCAGAAGCAAAGCCACTACTTTCGTTTATAAAAGCAGTTTTCTTTTCTAAACTGATTTTTTTAACTTATTGCTTCTCTAAAACAGCGCTTTTTAAACATTGGGCCGAAGCGAAATGCTGGGGTGGCGAAAATTAAATTAAAACCCTTGAATTTCAGCTTCTATGTTATTTCACAAACGCCCAATATTTAACGTAATGCGCCACGCATGCGCTGTGGTAAAAAAACGCACGTCTGGCGCCGTTGCGACTATGGCAGTAACAACGGATATATTTTCAGGGTAGTTGGTTAATATATGGGGTCGCGAAAAATGGAGTCATGAATAAAAAATGTTTAAGAAGCGCTGCTTTAAATTATTATAAACTAGCAGTAGAGTCCGGCGTTGCCCGGTGATATAACAGTAAGAGGT